CCTCTGTCATCCTCCTGGTTCAACAACTTAGAACTTATGTCTTTGAAGCTGGTTTTCTCACCGTTGTAGAAGAGGAAGATTCATTTGGGGATGAAGTTCATATGATGTTGGACGAAATTAATCAACATAACCTCCCTCATTTTGTTTCTCAATACTTGTTTGAGTTTGAAGCTTATTTTGACCAGATCGTCGAGATCTTGCTCGTAGAAGTAATATTGATATCCAAATTAAGAATAAGTCTATAAAAATGACTTTGGAATGAGATATCAGTGAAGCTTGTAAGAAAAAGATAGATGAACTCTAAGATAAATTCCAAAGCTTCTTGATAAACACAATTCCTTCGAGGCACAAATTTCGACTTATCAAACTCAAGTTGCTAAATTCAAGAAGAAAAATGCAGATCTTGAACAATAAAAAGTTCCACTTGATCAAGCTGAAAACTTCCACCAAAAAAAGAGCTCGACCAGAAGGCCCTCAAGGGAATCGAACATGGTGAAAACGCTCTCAATTTTAAGGATTAGGTCAAGAAAATAACAGAAAGCAAGGCTTGTCGACGCCAAGGTCGATTTTGAAAAGCATCGATTGGAAGATTTTAATTCTAGGTTTCCCACTTTACGAATTTAACCTTGTAACTTTTATTTTGACTCTTTTGGATATCTAATAGTTTTGGCACCTTTAAACTCACCATTTTTGCTATAAATATTTTTGCACTGTTATTTGTTGTTATTCCAATCTCTTGTAGTATAGGTTTATATATTTTCAGATACTTATCATTTATTCTTAAGATTCTACGATCAGGTGACATTTCTTCAATTTCGTAGGCATTATTTGTGAATACCTGAATGATTATAAATGGTCTTTTCCAGTTTGAAGACCATTTTCCTAAGGTTTTATCTCTTTGATCCATAGGAAAAATCACTTTCCACACACAATCACGAGCTATGAAAGTTTTTCCTTTAACTTTCTTATTGTACGCTTTAGCGACTCACTCTTTTTGTCTTATTAATATATCAAACTCAACCAATCTTTCTTTATCTGATTCGACTAATGCATCTAACATCATATACCAATAATGTTCAAATGAAATTTCATCTTACCTTTGCACTCTTGTCGACTGCAAATAAATTTCGACTAACAATATGGTGGTCAGTCGAAATAAGGTGTGTGTATCGAATGTAGAAAATTTAAGGAAAGTGATTTTAGACAAGCTCATGAGAGTAAGTTAAGTATTCATCCGAGAAAGACTAATATGTATTAGTATTTAAGGCAAAATTTGTGGTGGTCGAGTATAAAAAACAAGTGGCTAAGTATGTAACTTCGCATTTGGCATGTCATTGTACATGTCAATATAACTCATACTCGCGCAGGTACCATCTCGAACCTATTCTGAGTTAACTAGGAAGACCTGTTTTGACATAGTTTTATGTTTAGGTTTAAATTTTCACTCATTTCAAAATATGTTGATGTGGAGGTAATGAGAACACTAGTACCCCTTTAACATGTCCCTAAATTGACCATTCTTATATTAATATCTACTTATGTTAGAACTTTCAATGAACAATAATGTAGAATATTCTTGGATATATATTTGTTGGGTGGTAGTTTGGAATAAACAATATTCTTTATTATGTCGTTATTTTGTTGGTAGTTTGGAATATAGAATATTCTTCATCTTGTCGTTGTTTTGATGGTAATTTAGAATTTTGATTTGTACTTTATTATTTGGTTTTGATAATTTAAAATATTAGTTGTTTTATTAATACATTGATAGTTTAGTTTGTACTTTATTATTTGAAATATATGTTTAAATTTTGTTTACTTTATTATTTGTAATGTTGCTCAATATTTGGTACAGGTTTTGAGTTTATGGTGGATTTTGGGCTCGAAAAAAGGAAGGGGGTGGGGCGGAGATACATGAACCCTTTTGGGATAGGATTAAGATTTAATTATTTATCCCCATAAGATACTTGGGCGAGGAGCAAGGATTTATTAGGGAGTTGGGTTTGGACACAGGGAAGGTGAAAATTGTCCCTACCTCGTCATATTGTCTTGCCTACATGTGAGAAATCAAAAGTGGAACACCAACGACCTAGATTGTTGTTGCAATAATTAGACATATTAGAGTGGAAGTAGAATAGTATTTTTGATGGATTTTATCATAGAATTTTCCTAAGACAAGAAGAAAGAATGTTTAAATTTGGATAATAATGGCTTGTATAACAAATTTTGCTCATTTTTTTTACCATTAATGACTACCTATGATAGAGAATGAGTGAGATTTACATTGCAAAAATTGTAATATTACATGGAGTAGCAAGTTAGTCATAATTTACTTCTCACTTTTGGGGAACATTGTATGTAGCGCTAGGAACGAGTTTGTAGTTGAGTTCAACATATCATCTGCAAACAGACAAACATACTAAGTGTAAAAATCACGCATTAGAATATTTATTAAGAACATGTGTATTGGATGACAAATGAAGTTGGGATAACATTTCCATTAATAAAAATTACCTACAACAATAGTTTCATGTGTGTTAAACATTATTATGTTGTATCATGATGGTGAAATTATGACCACGTGACCTGAGATGATACACCATACTACAATAAAGGTGAAAAATATTAGAGAGAGAAAATGAAAATTGCACAAGATGGGCAAAATAGTTATGCGGACAAGCTCTGTAGACCACTGGAATTCAAAGAAGGAAAACATGTGTTTCTTCGTGTCACAGCGTCTTCAAGTGTAGGTGGAGAGATAAAGTCAATGAAATTAACTCCAAAATTTATCAGACCCTTATTAGGTAACAACAAGAGTATGATTAATGACGTGTTAGATTTTGTTATCATTAATATTATCATAAATTTACAACATCATTCACATGTCGCAATTGAGAAAATATATTTGAGACCTTTCACACGTGGTATCATACTATTCATTTGAAGGAAAATATTTCTTTAAAGTACCTCTAATGAAGATAGAGATATTATTTTTGTATATGTGTGCAAGTATACATATTCAAGATAATAGCAAGTGATAAGAAAAGTATCTATAACACAAAAATTATATTAAATATTTTCAAACTTCTTACGAAAATTCATAAAATAAACATGAGCCATGGTAACAAAATAATATGGTGTGTCATGAGGTTAAAAATAAGAAATTCAGAAAGATATAATAAAAGTTTTTTTTTTATTTTACTACGGCCCACTAGATCGCCTAATCTGATTCAGTGGTCAGTTATGACATCAAGTGATTTTAGCTCCCACCTGATTGCAGTTGCGAATAATCAAACAATAGTCCTTCCTGTTAGACGACGACAACATATCTAGAGGGGTGAATTTGTTCACCCCTTTTAAAGTATCCAGAAAAATTTTAGTTTTCAGAAAGTGTTTTATCAAAGAGCGGTGCGAAATCTTTTTCAAAATGTCGCCTTTTACGAGCTTTATTGGAAACTCAAATATGCAAACGCAAACACAAAAAGCAATATGGAATTAGAAGAATACTTGAATTAATATGCTTCAATCATTTTAAAACTTATTTAACGTTTATTGCAAATTACTAGTAAGGTTATTTCTAATGGCAATATTAATAGAACAAGCTAAATCAATTTATCAAACACTTGGTGTGTAAGTGAATTTTCAGAATTTTTCATTGAGTTGTGTTGATACAAAAAATCACTTATTTGACAAATTGATCAATAAAAATCAAAGCAAGTAAAAGTAAAAATAAAAGAGACACAAGAAATTTGTCTTCACAGTTCCCCACTGTCCTCTTCGTGTGTGGGTACGTCTGCGCATAATTCCAATGAAATTAGGATAATTCTTACTATGTAAAATAGTTTATACAAGAGAAGTGTTCAAGAGCAACTCCACAAACCATAATGCTTGTTGTTGATTCAACATTTTCTCTTCTTTTGATCTTGAGAAAGACCAAGACACGATAGATATAAATTGACAACAGGATCTTGCTACTCCTTTGCGTTGTTTATCTCCAAAGCTTTTGCACACCGCCAATTTCAAACTATTGCAACACAAGAATTCAATTGTATTCTGCCATTCTTGCTCTACTTCCTTTGTGTTCTTTATCTCCAAAGGATCCCTTGCATTCTTTATCTCCAAAGGACTTCACTTGGCCGCAATTACCTCTCGAACGTCTTGTACGAAAACCCCCAAATCAACCAATGATTTTGGAGGACAAACCCGATGTTTTTCTTGGATGAAAACTCCTACAAAGCTCAACCCAATACACAATTGGACACTAATAATCCTCGTCTAGATGACACCCCAACAAAACATCGCTACAATATAATATCAGTGTGTATGCATAGATTGAAGGTTGAAGATGATGAGATAAATAGGTTGATTTTATGGTTTCACCAAGTTATGAATGATACATGAATGAGTATTTATAGTTTTGAAACTTTTAGAGCAAAAATGATACATTCGGAATTAAAATAATTTGAAAAAGATTGATCAACTAACTACCTTTTAGAGCCATACTATTTGGTTTCAAATTCCTTATACCTTACCTAATAAAAGAAGGACTGCATAATAATATTAAAAATACACAAACAATTCTTTAATAGGCAGAAATCATGGTCCATTGATGAACATATATGTCTGTTGATGATTTCACCTTAACCTTCACTTTCCCATCTTGAATTCTTTCAACTCAACTACCAACTACACTATGACATCAAAAACTAGTGAAAACAAAAATAAAAAAATAAAAAAATATTTTTGTAGTCATACAAAATACAGTTAATCATTTAAAATGAATTGAATGAAAATAATTGTGAATTATAATTAAAAAAAATAAAAAATAATAAAGATTTAGACCTACTTTTTCACTCTGCTCCACTATTTATAAATAAAAGAATTAATGCCATTTTTATTGGATGACTTAGTCATATATTTATATAACTATGTCCCTTCCATCATTCTTTGAACTGTAAGCGTATGTAGTGCAGTGTTCATCTCTGATCTTCTTCTGAGTCATGGCAAAGAGATCTCAAAAAACCACTTCTTCTTCTTCTTCTTCTACTATTACTACTACTTCATCTTCTTCTTCTTCTACCACCATGCTGAAACGTAAACGTAAAAGCATCCCAAGAAACTCACCTCCACAAAGAAGCTCTATTTATAGAGGTGTCACAAGGTTATATTTATATTCAATTCAATTTTATTTTTTTTATGTTTTTGTGTTTTCTAAAATGGGTTTTGTTTATATTATTGTTTTAGACATCGTTGGACTGGTCGATATGAAGCTCATTTGTGGGATAAGAATTGTTGGAACCAATCACAAAGCAAGAAAGGAAGACAAGGTAATTTTATTCTTAATTTATTTTCTCTTTATTTTCATATTATTATTTTGATCTCATTCACTTATTTGATTTGATGCCATTTTTGCCTTTTTTTTTTTTTTTGTTATAATGGCAATGGAAATCAATTGATGCAGTATATCTAGGTATGACTAGTGTCTTAATTATTTGATTAGTGTCTTAATTATTTTGATTTTGAATAAAATTGTTGTTGAGAATTGAAAATGGATAGAGGCTAGTGGGATCAAAAGATTTAATTGAGTAAAAAGTTGGGTTTTTATTTAGGGGCTTATGATGATGAAGAGGCTGCAGCACGTGCCTATGACTTGGCAGCATTGAAGTATTGGGGCCAAGCCACAATTCTTAACTTTCAAGTAAATTTTCTAATCTTTAATATTTTAATTGGATTTTTCTCAAATGTGAAAAATTATAATAGATAATAAAATTTTCATTCAAATGAATTTAACAATGTTGTGTGATCAGAGTTTAGTTCAATAATCTAAATTAAGTTGAAAGAGATTTCTTATCATTTTTTTGAAGTGATATTTTATTCATCTTTCATATATTTGGAAAAGCTATATATATAAATATTATGAGTTTCTTATATTTAAATATGTTTTTAGGTATCAAATTATCAAGAGGAGTTCAAAGAGATGGAAGGACAATCAAAAGAAGAATATATTGGATCCTTAAGAAGGTTTGGTTAATAAAAATTTTACAGAATGGGAAAATGGAGGATTTAGATGAACTTTAATACAATATTTATGAATTAATTTATAATATGCAGAAAAAGCAGTGGATTTTCAAGAGGAGTTTCAAAATACAGAGGTGTAGCAAGGTACATAAAGTATTTTTAATGTCATCATTATTATTTTGTTGACAAGTACTAAATGCAACCATTTTGTAATGTTTGAATCTCTTCACTATTGTTTTATCATTAATGTCAAGAAAATGAATTAACAATATTTTTATTGAGTTTAGAAAGTGTATAGGTGCAAACCAAATTAATAATAATGGAGCATATAGAAAAGGAAAATATTATGTTTTTTAAGATTAATAATTTTCATTTTGGATTATATAATTCACCATTATACTTTTTTATATCATATTCCATCCATATCAATGAATAGAATTTTAGGTCGGTTTGCATTGAGCATAACCTATAGATTAACCCATGATACCCACGTGGTCGGTTTATTCACAAAGGATAGTGTAATAATAATAATAATAGTGTGTCATAAATAAACTTTTTTTTAAATATATAATAGTAGAAAAATAATTAAACTTGGTTCATTGTTAAGGAGTTGACTCACATTTCTTTAAACAACTCAATTAGATTTTATAAAAGATAGAGTTTTTGATATATAAAAAGGTGAAAAAGAAAAATATGTGATAGCTATAGCACAAAAAGTAAGAATAGGATAAATATAAAAATGAATTATAATGAATATTTTGCTGACTCATGTCGTCTAAGAGTTTAATTTTAGTTAAATAAAGTCGTTAAGTATAGAAATAAATGCATATGATAAACTTTGATGTTGAATGTTATGATTTCTCTATCCAAGTTAGTGGGTGACAAATGGGTAGCCACCACCATTATGGTCCATACCATTCCTATTGACATTTACATATTTCCATCCATATATTTATGCTTGAGTAATTAATTTGGTGGCAAATATCTTACTTTCTTTTTAGACACCACCACAATGGAAGATGGGAAGCTCGAATTGGAAGAGTCTTTGGCAACAAATACTTATACCTTGGAACTTATGGTAATTCTACACGTCTATCATTATTTTCATTCTATCAAAATGATATTATAAGACCCTCATCTAATATATTTTTATTGTATCTTTCATGTAATAAAAAAATACAAGTACTAATATATTAAAACAAATATTCCAAAGAGTGAGACACACATTTAATTTGGACGGAAAACCAACCAAAAGAAAAAGTCATTTTCATGAATTTTAGGGTATCATTCTTTCCCATTTTTATGGACATAGATGTATGGCTTTACATTTTTGGATTTGGTTGCATTTATAACTCTCATGTGTCCTTATAACACATGGAACCAAAATCTAAACAAAATTATATTTTTCTATAATAATTCTAAAATATTTAGTCAATTTTACACACTTTTTATCGTTATAAAATGTACTAATACAAACAAAAATTTTGTAAGTTAATAAATATTTGTTCATATCCTAAATGTTGGAGAATTTAGAAAAAAAATAATAGATATATAATCACCTCTACCTCTAATATAAATTTAATATTTCACTTATCAAATATACAAACGCTTCCATAAAATTGAGTAACAAAAGATTTAATAATACAATCTCTCCTCTTAAACTTTTAAGACATTACATATATTTTTTTAAATTTAGATGAGTTATTGATCTGATTAAATTATTAGATCACTAAATTATTGATCAGATTAATAAATTATTTATCGGATTGTATGACTTTTAATTATGTAAAAATATAATATTAGTTTTTTAAAATATTCTTTTCAAAATTTTTGTTAATTTATAATATAATTATATTGTATAATTAATTTTTCAACTTTTTAAATTTATATGATCGCATAACTTTTAATAATGTAAAAATGTAATATTATTTTTTAATAATATATTTTTCAAAACTTTTATTAATTTATAATATTATTTTATCGTACAATTAATTTTTCAAATTTTTAAATTTATTAGATCACATCACTTTTAATAATGTATAAATATAATATTATTTTTAATAATATTTTTTTAAAAACTTTTACTAATTTATAATATTATTTCTTCATATAATTAATTTTTCAACTTTTTTAAATTTATTTTATTATTATATTATATAATTAATAATAAATAAATTTAATGAAAATTTATATTACAGAGAAATATTATAACTATAATTATATAATATATACTCTTTTTTTGCTAAATTAATATCAAAGAGATTTATGTTATAATTAATAAAACTAAAATTAACATAGCTATAAATATTTAAAAAAATCGAATTTTAAAATAGCACATTAAAATTTAAAAAAAAATAATAATAATAAGTGATCAAAATTATAATTAAGTTAAAAAGTAAATATAAAAAAATCAATTTAAAATAAGAGATTTATTAATTCAGTGATTTGATTAGTAAATCGCCAAATCACATCGATTTTTGCTGAATTAATTATAACTAGTCTAATAATAATAATTTAATTGAACCGTCTTATCTTCTAATTCACCGTCTAATCGAACTAAAACGTTTTAGTTTTTAAAACTATGAGTAGATATATTATGATTAGATATATGATATGGATAAACTTTAAGACATATCTTATAGGGATCATTCTTAAGAATTTAACATTTTATTCATTATTTCTCGTTGAATCAAACACTTAAATTTTGACTCGCAATTGAAGCCACCATCTAAATTTGCCACCTCTAATAAAAAAAGTAGAGGGAATCTATTTGAACGGTGCCTGCCTTAAAATGCCAACAAGAAAATAATACCTACTAATGGTCCTACATTACATACTCAAAAATAGTAGAATAATGTTAATTAAATCTAGGAGGTTGTAATATTGATCACCAAACTTCAACTGCTTAATAAAGTTATTTATTTTTATACTCAAAAACACTTAATTCTGATGGTAAGAGTCTCTCCAAAAACTCTTAGATATTTAATAGTATTAAATCTGTGTCGTTCTTATTAGAGAATATTTGATTTATACTAGTATAGGATAAGTTATTTATTTATATAGTAATAATGAAAATATGATTCTTTTACTCTATCTTTTTTATTCTAACTAAATTCAGAGATGTATTAATTGACTAGTCTTTATTCTTTTAAATATTTTTGACTCATAGTAGTATCATTCTCTTATGGACTAAATATGTTGAACTATTTTTCTCCCACTTCTTTTGACTCAATTGACTAAATATATATATTATGGAACAGCTACACAAGAAGAAGCAGCCATAGCATATGACAAAGCAGCAATACAATATCGAGGACTTAACGCGGTTACAAATTTTGATCTGAGCCGTTATATCAATAATAATAACAATAACAATAATAATCAAGAACTAGTTGATGCAGGTGACACATCAACAACATCTTCCGCGGTCGATCTTATGTTAAACTCATCAGAATTCAAACAAATGTTAGAACATACAACATCCTCGTCATCAATCGAAGATAGTTACACTCCACCACTTGTTGAATCAAATCCGCCACATCGGAATTTTCCTGAGGATATTCAAACAATCTTTGAAACGCAATATTCAAGTATCTACAATGAGAATGATGATGACTTGATATTTGGTGAGTTGACCTCAATTAATGCATCAATTTTTCATTATGAGCTTGTGCTTGATTAGAACAAATAGATGACAAGGAAATTAGCAACTACAAAAAAAGAGTAAACAAATAACTTGTTACAATTATGATGCAACAAGATGGTATGTAAGGCTTTTATGTTAACAATTTAGTTTTCTCATAGGTATGTCTCCTCTCTATCATATGTTCTACTCCATTCATTAGCTTTTATTTTCTTTAAATAAATTTTTTCGAATAACTTTCATTTTTGTTAATTACACTCTGGTTATAATTATAAATAAATAACCGTAAATATTTATCGCAGTGATGTGCTTAAAAGAGGTATAAGTTATTATTATTATTATTAATCTCTTAAATTAAAAAAGAATATATATATTTATAAGAGATTAAAATGTTAAATATTTGTTCAAATGAAGAAAAAAGGAAATAAATTATGACCGGATGTCCATTTGAAATAAATTACAACTCTACAATCAAATGTATCTACGGGTATAGAAAAAGTATTATTTAAACCACTAAGTATGAGTCGAAGTGAAACCATGTGACACGTGCTCTCATCAAATTCAATTTCAAATTTGGCATCAAACACTGCAGCATCAAATTCAATTTCAATTTGGCATCAAACACTGCAGCATCAAATTCAATTTCAAATTTGGCATCAAACACTGCAGCATCAAATTCAATTTCAAATTTGGCATCAAACACTGCAGCATCAAATTCAATTTCAAATTTGGCATCAAACACCGCCATAAAAATGAAAGAGTAATAAGACATTACCTTAATTTTTTTTTCATTTTAGTTAAGCAATGAGTCATTGGGATTGAGTTAAGTTTGTTTTATACCAGTAACTTGGGTACTGGATGTATTATTTTTCCAACTTTAATCTTGAAAGTATTTGTTAATATTGGTTTAACAAATGAGTAATTTGAAAGAAAAAGAAAAACAATGGATAGTTTTTAGACAGGCGTATAAAAAAAGACAATAAAATTTCTCATAGTATTATTTCTAGTCTGGTTAATTACTATGAGTACTACCATAAATAGGTTGAGAATTAAAAGGAATTTCTTGTTTTATTTTGAGTTTAGTAATTCAAGCTTCTTTTGCTTCAAACAGAATCACATTTCAAATAAAATTGCTATTAAAAGAGAAATCATTAACCCTGAATAAGTGATATGATAACCTTTAAAATAACAATCCTTTCAGCAGCAACATATATTCCAAAAAGAAATCATCTATCAAAATTAAGTAACATGGAAGTAAAAGTATACTTGGTTACATATTTTAAATTATGAGAGCCGAGATAGCAATAAACTTAATATGTGGCGTCATTATTCTCTCATAAGTGAAATCATGACTGATATAAACTGAGTAATAAGTAGATTCACCCACCAAAACTGGTCATGAGCAACATCGCTAAATGTTTAAGGAAACATATACAGACGCATCCTCAGCCTGCAGCAGACTCTTCTATCCATTGAGAAAAAGGAATACCGCATATATGCCAATGCATCAAATAAATTAAAAACTTGGAAGCTCACACTGTTGCACTATTGCATTGGCAAAAGAGCAGACTGCAACGATAGAAAACAACAGTTAGTTTCCAGTCGCTGCAAAAGGTAGAGTTCCAGGAGCAAAATAGCAAATGCAAAAACAAACAAACCTGCCATTTGAGTAAAACTCAGTCATCGAGATAATAATAAGAACCAGCATGCTTTTGCTCTCTATCCTTGGTTGAATCAAGTTTGTTGATCCTTGGTCGGAAATTAGTTGGGTCTCTTCTAAATGTGATATCGAGATGCTGCAACAGCGATTACATTAGGCAATTAATCATACAAACATATACCACAACATAATTTTTAATTTTCTGCATGCATATGCTTTCAGTAATGGAATCATCGAAAAATAATGACACTTACGGATAAGAAAAGGTTCATCCCAGTCAGCAGTGATTGTGGACAATTTGCCTGACAATCAATTGAAGGTTGACCCTCATAAACAATAACTCTGTCAGCAAGATAAGTTGCCATGATAAAATCATGCTCAACCACAAAAGCTGTTTTCTTTGCATGAAGAATAAACCTTTTGATGACTTTCGCAGCAACAATACGTTGCTCAGAATCAAGATATGCACTTGGCTCATCTATCAGATAAATGTCTGCAGGCTGTTGTGGCAAGAAGATAGCAACTGATCAGAAAACTATAAATGCTATTTAGTTTGAAATGAATAGGAGTGTACATCTCAGGTAGTAAAACAAACACACAACAGAATCAACAGATTTTCCAAAAGTCTTGCCACAACATCAGCTCAAATATAAGTCTGCAGGCTTCTGTAGTATAAGTGTAGAACACTAATGGATCAGGAATTCATTTGAATTAAAATTAAAATGTATACTTAAGAGTTAAAAAATAAAGATCTCAACAAATCTAAGTTTCCAAAAAACTTGACACAGCATTTAACTTATTTTCATTGTATGGAAAGAAAAGCAGCTGACATCTCTCACCAACGTGGATTTGGCTTCTCTAAAGAAACAATTGATGCACATTCATAACAAATCATAGATTTCATAAGATATAATGCTTTGATTTTGTCATCGCTCAAAAGTAAACCACTCACTCTGAAAGAGAAAACTTCCACTGGCATAAAGAAAACTATGAAGCTATCTCAAGGATGAAACTTAAAATACCTTTCCGAGACAAAGGCATAGGGCAACTCTTTGCAACTCTCCACCAGAAAGATTCACAACTTCTTGGTCCATCAACTGTTCAATAAGCAGTGGTTTCATCACATCTGACATAAACTGGGGATGAGTATATGCATCACGAATTTTTTGATGTAGCAGGTGTCTAACAGTTGATTGGAACTTGGGGCTAATTTTCTGAGGTTTGTATGAAACATTGAACTCGGGCATCTCCACCTCAGATCCACCTTCTATAACATCGGGTTTCAATAAACCAGCCTGAACAAAAGGAGAAGGTGAATAGAAATGATAAAAACTACGTAGTATTGCAGTTTGATAAAGAAATAAATAAAACTAAAAGCATACCAGCATACGAATGAATGTTGTCTTTCCCGTCCCATTCTCACCAAGCATCACAACAATCTGAGAATCTGTAAATTCTCCTTCAACTACACGAAGCCTGAAATTGCCTTGAGTTTTGGTCATGGTCGGGTATTTGTATCGAGCATACGTTTGAGCTTCTTCAGCAGTTTCCTGAGGAGTCTCTGCAACCTAGACACAACACAGAGCAAGGTTAATTCAATAAATTTAGTGTTTTATTAATAAGAAAAAATAGAGAAAGGAAATTTGGAGTAACAAAAATTAAACCTCATATCTAGTTTATTAGAATAATTTCATTTTGAGTTGCTGAAAATATTAACATAAAATAATATAAAAGGTCAAATAAAAACTACACTGTAGGTTCTTTCATTAAATTTTAAATAAGTGACTTATATGTTCTTATTACCCAGTAAGTCCTTGATATTTATGATTCATTACTTGTAAAATTATGACTTATTTGAAATTTTAGACAAATTACAATGTTAAACTGAAAGATAATAGAGCTCAATTAAGTTCCGATACATCATTTTGGCAAGTTTAAACAAACACCGCCGAATAAATTTCAGTGCTGAAATCTTCCTTTTCACCACACCCGAATTGGATTTATATTCTGTTATGGGAGGTGGGAGATAGATTATATAAATACCTTGAAGGTAAGAGAGTCCTCCCGAAACCTAAGATTTTCTGTAGGAACAAAGCCAGACAAGAAGATATTAATTCCTTCTCTGACTGAGAAAGGAAGTGTTACGACTCCATAAGCACCAGGTTTGCCATACAAACAGCAAATAAAGTCTGATAAGTAGTCCAAGACACTAAGATCGTGCTCAACGACAATTACATAGCTGAAAAAAAGAAGATTGCAAATAAAATCAAGAATCATCTCGACTGGAAAACAATGAGAGTGCACATAGTGATATAGACAATACTTAAAGCTGAAACTACTGAGAAAATAAACAAACCTATTAGGCCTTAGCAATGATCGGACAACTTGGGCAGCTTTCAGCCTCTGTTTCACATCGAGATAACTAGAAGGTTCGTCGAACATGTATATCTCAGCATTTTGAATGGCAACAACCGCAATTGCAAACCTTTGGAGCTCACCCCCAGAAAGATCACCAACATTACGATCTATAACTTGATTAAGCTCAAGATCAGCACAAAGCTCTTCCTTCATATCTCTCTCATTCTTTTGGTCTAGAACCTGCCCTACATTCCCTTGCACTGCTTTTGGAATGTGATCAACATACTGAGGCTTGATGATAGCCTGTATTATAACATATATTGAAATATGCACATTTATAAGCCAAAAGGGAAAAACTTTTTTAAATGACATGCAATCTTGTCAAAACAAACTTCAAAAACAGCTCAATTTAAATGAATGAACATTCAGAAAAATGTAAGCACGGCAAATGCTAGGCTATCAAGTAAACATAAAAATGTTTATTAAACATAAGGGATTATGAAATGATTGTTATAATGCTACATTTACTTCTAGTACAGAATCAGTACTGAAACATAAAATCGTTTATACTCCTTTTGTCCCTTTATATAAGACCCTCTTGTAAAAGTTTATAGTCCCTTTCTAATAGACCCTTTTCAAAATTCAGAAGATGCACTAATATTATTTTCACAAAAACTTCCCTACTTAAATGAAAAGAATCACTAGACCAACCATTTTGGAGAGAGATGTACATAATTGACAGATTCAATTAATGTAAAAACTAGTTTTCCTGATTCTTGTCTTTTGACCAATATGGTCTTATATACAGGGATAGAGGTAGTAACTAACTACAGATTACAAAGCTTTCAAACAATATTTGTATTCTCTATAATATGGTTTACCATTTGTACAACTGAAGAACTTTGATGATATGGCTAACAATAAACTAACAGTATCAAAAGTGAACTTGGCTTCTACGTAGCATTGCCACACTCACAAATCACAGTCACGGCATATCCCAGTCATGTCATCAGGATATACT